ATACACACACACATACACCTCCCCCATACACACACATTGCCCACATACACTGCCCCAATACACACACACACAAACTTCCCCCATACACACATTGCCCCCACTCACACTGCAACGCACACACACACTGCCCCCCTAACACACACTGCCATCCTCACGTACACACTGCAGCTTTCACACACACATACACTGCTCACACAGTCCTTGTGACACAAACACACACACACTGCACCCCTGCTCCTATGCCCTACTACAGCCCCATTTCCAAGCAGACCTCAGGTAAGTTGTCAAACTGTTCTTAAACGGTTTGACTACTTACTCTGGGAGGGGGTCCCGGCACTACTGGCACCATAACCACTACACTGAGCTGTAGTGGGTATTGTGTCTGGATTATTTCTCTAAATAATCTGCAAGTGCCCCTCCCGAGGTCAGGCTCTGGATCCGCCACTGATATAAAGGTGGGGGGGGGAATAAAAAAATAAAATATTTACAGCTTAAATAACTTGCTTAAAGATGAGCCTTGTGTGGCAGCAATCCAAGTTCCCACAGCTATGTTTATACAAAATGTAATCAGTAAATAAAAACTTTATTAGGTAAAACAGGAAAAATAAGATACAAGTTGAAATAAAGCTGGGGAACAGAAATAGTTGTTACGTGTATATAGCAACACTAGATCCTATCCTTTTCTATTGGTCTCAGAATGCAGCTAAATTTAATATGGCTAAACAACCCTTATAATTAGAGATTATTCTAACATCAGTGACCTAAGACAGGAGGCGAATATTTGCTTTACTTCCTTTACTGTTCCTCCCAGCAGCAAAGAAATAGTTAACAGATTGAAAAAAGAAACAACCAGTCAGAACACATCTAGTCAGTAATTCAGTAATATGTGGCTGTGAGACTCCTCCCAATTCCTCTTTCTTGATGCAGCCGGAGTGATATCAACCATGTAAACTGGAAACAACAATCTTCAAACAAGCGTGATTAGCCATGTAAACGAACTGGAAGTTGGGACAACAGATCCTCAATAAGGACGTCGTGCATATAAGTGAAGACAATTTCACACTAGGAAAAGAAGAAAATTTGTGAAAGTATGGTGTGATTGGCAGGATGCCCACATATAAATGCCTAGTGTTAAATTAAATTGATGACAAAACTTGTGGAGTACTACACATATACATAGTCTTTTGTGATGTGATACCCATATTTATATGAATGAAAGTCATAGAACCTATGAACAAACCCACATTAACACCTTACCAGGATATTCCATCGTGGAAGAAATAAGGGAGGTCGACGTGCGAAGTATCCAAACGGACGTAGGGTGGGACAATATTCGCCTCCTGTATTTAATAAAATTTAGATTATTAGGTCACTGACGCTAGAATAATCTCTAATTTTATGGCTTCATAGTTGCTGTTTTAACGCCCAGAGAGTAAATGAAAGCCCGGATGAGATTGAGGCCGGAAATAAAAAGTAAGAGAGGTAGGAGTACTGAATGAGCGCCAAAGGAAGGCTCCACGCCCGAGGCGGAGGAGCCACCTGATCCACCAAGCAATAGTGGGACATGACACCAGACGGTGGGGACGAACATAGGACACAAAAGTGGTCCCAACAGGGGCCGAAGGGGAGTGGTAAAGGTGACATACCGTTGTAAACAACGGGCAACACACAGTGATGGTCTATCCGGGAAGAAAACGGAGGATGATGGGACCTTAGTGCGTTGGACAATGGAAAAACATACTCCCTCAGGAGTAAAGGTAATAGCATGAAGGTCGAACTCTTTGATGTCAGAAACCCGACGCAGAAAGACCAAGCAAAGTAGTAGGGCTAGTTTGGCAGAGAGTTGCCATAGATATAGTTCTGAGCTGGGAGGCAAAGCATCCAGAAAGGATAAGACTTTTGCCACATCTCAAAAATGGGTGTAACAGGGGGGGGGCGGTGTTCTGGAGACGGATACCCCGTAGAAGCCTGCACATGGATAGATGTTGTCTGGCAGGGACTGTATCGATTGGACTATGAGCTGCCGAAATGGCAGAGCGAAAAAGGTTTATTGTAAGATAAGATTTGCCTCTGTCAAAGAGAGTGGACAGGAAATTCATGATATTCACCAGAGTCCTTGAAAAGGGATCAATATCCCTTTCCAAACACCAGTGAACCCAGGATGACCATGCTGAAAGGTAGGATCTGCAGGTTCCTGGGGCCCATGAATCCCAGAGGAGGTTTCGAGCCGAGCTTGAAAGGCCTGAGATGAACCAGGATCCCCTAAACTGTCCAGGCCACTAGTTGGAGACGTCCCTGGATGGCGAGGGAATGGCACGCTCCGAAGGGGTCTTGGAGGAGGTCCGGGGCAAGAGGCAGAAGCAGATGGTAGTCCGCGGACATCTCTTAAAGGTTGGGATACCAAGGCTGGGCTCTCCAGAGAGGAGTTATTAACTGGATCCTGAATCCCAGAACCCTGAGGCGATGGAGAGTGCGAGGGATCATGGAGAAAGGTGGAAATGCGTATGCTCCTGTCGACGGCCAAGGTTGTAGAAAGGCGTCGACGGCTTGTGACAACGGATCCGGTAACCAGCTGAAGAAAGCGTCTGTCTGACGGTTCAGTCTGGACGCAAAGAGGTCCAACATGATGGGCCCGCGAAGGTGATGCAGTTGCTAGAAGACACTCAGGTCCAGCTGCCAATTGCTGGAGTCCCTCCAGGGACGGGAGAACCAGTCCACCATGAGGTTGTCCAAACCGGGAAGTTATTCTGCTTGAAGGGAGATATTTTGGTAAGGTTTGACAGGAGCTTGGAGCGGGAGCCTCCAAGACAATTGACATAACGGACAGCGGAAACATTGTCCATTCTGAGAATCAATGAGCAGTCGTAAGCGTCCTTGGTGAGACTGCGAATCGCAAAGGCGCCGGCCATCAGCTCTAGGCAATTGATGTGCATTGAGCGTCCTGACTGGGTCCAGAGGCCCCCCATAGAGAGGCCAGAGTAGGTAGCTCCCCAACCCAGGAGTCTGGCATCGGACTCTAGGACGAAATCCGTTTGGCGTCCGAAAATAGCTTTCCCATTCCAGGCTTCCATATTTTTAGCCACCAATCTAACTCTAGACGGTCCTCTTCCGTAAGGAAGATCGGTTGATCGTAGGAATAGGATCTGCACAGATACCTCATCTTGAGACATTGCATCGCTCTGTAGTGTAAGGGGCCGGGGAAAATAGCCTGAATGGATGCGGACAGGAGCCCTATTATGCACGCCAAGTCGCGAAGGAGTACATGATGAGAGGACAATAGCTTTCGAATGTCCTTCTTGATGGCCTTTATCTTTGCCATTGGGAGTTTGAGGATCGACTGTACGAAGTCGATCTGGAAACCCAGGAAAAGGATGGACTGTGATGGTATTAGAGAGGAGTTTTCAAAATTGATCACAAAACCGAGGTTTTGTAGGAGACATTTGGTCATAGTCATATGTTTCCGAAGGGTATGGGGCCATGATTAATATGTCGTCTAGATAGACGATGGACCAGATACCTTGGGACCGGAGAAGGGCCATAACCGGCTTCATTAACTTGGTGAAGCACCAAGGGGCGGACGAGATACCGAAAGAGAGGCAAGTAAATTGTCAAAGCTCTTGAAGCCGTATTAATGGAAGGAAAGGGTGGTGACAGGGTGCAACCGGTACTGTAAGGTAGGCATTCCTGACGTTGAAACGGGAGAACCAATCTCCCTCGCAAAGTAGGTCTCGGAGTAGGTGTATGCCCTCCATTTTGAAGTGCCATGACACAATGAATTGGTTTAACCCTCTCAGATTGATGATGGGGCGAAACTCGTTTGACTTTTTCCGAACCAGAAAGATATTGCTGACAAATCTGAGGGGGGATGAGGAGTGTTCGATTGCGCCCTTGTCTCTAAACTTGCAAAGTTCTGCATGTAGGGTAGCGGTGTCCGGCTGGGACATCCGTAGAGGGAGGGGAAGGGATTCTTGTATAGGGTCGGTTGTGAAATCCATGAGAAACCCTGAAACAGTCTGAAGGATCCAAGGATACTGAGTGAGAAGAGACCACTGTGGGAAAAAACAAGTTAAACGGCCTGCAATATGTACTAGAGAATAAGGTAGGTGTATTACGTTGAGCAGATCGACCCCCGAGAGAAGCAGAGCCACGTCCTCTGATTGATCCTCTGTTGGTAAACAGTTGTCTGTGATAGGAACGGGCATAACCAGAGTTCCAAGGTTCACTTGGTTGAGGCCTGTAGCCGCTGAAGGCAGACCTGCCGGTTGCTCGGCCTCTATGGCGACCGGCTCTGCCAGAAAAACGGTTGGATCGAAACACCCTGCGAAGGGAAGTCTAAACCTTGTTCAACAAGGTGAACACAGATACATGTCTGTTGAGGTCCCGCATGAACTGGTCCCCAAACAATAGGCCGTTGGAACTCAAATCTGCCAATTTTGCATCTATTTTATATAACGCAGCTTTCCGTCTTTCCATGGACATAGCCACATTAGCATTTCCCCCCATTCACGTACCAAGTGTGGATCCAAGGTACCTTCAACAATGGCTTCGTCTGCTAAAATAAAAATTTGGAAATGGGGCCAGCAATATCCAATAATTTGTCCTGGAATGTTTTGAGGCCCTGTTCTAGGCCCTTGCAGGTGTCTTTCCCTGATTTGCTGAGGAAAGTAATTAGGAGAGGGTCAAACTTGGGTGTCAGAGCGACCTTGTCTGTTATTGTAGGGCAGGGACATTCCGCCCATAACTTGTTCCTAATCTCCTTCTCCAGAGGTTTTCGGAGCCACATTCTACAGAATTGGGCTATATGGCCAGGAGGTGCACATTCAGCGCACCGGGGATGTTTGATAATCCTAGGATCAAAATGGGGTTGGCCGTTAGCATCCAGCAGGATGTCAGATAAGTGATCCTTGTTTTGGGAAGGATTAGTAGGAGTGGAACTTACCTCCAATGGTTTGGTAATGAAGGATTCCCTGACATAAGGGGTTTTACCATGATCTTCCTCATCAGAGTAACCCTGTGCAGTACTCGTTCACGACCTGTAGATCGTGTGATGTGGAACCCTCCAAGGGGTCCAATATGGGAAGGCTTGAGGAGGGAAGAGACAGTCTAGGGTTTTTGGCAGGTGCCTTGCCTTTACCAGCGGAGGCACTGTTGCCCTTCCAGGGACGCTTGCGTGGAGCATTGTCGGAATCATTGTGAGACTCTTCCGAGTCGGAAACATTTAAGGCAGCATTTGATTTGGAGACAGGTTTAGCCTGTTTGTGATAAGCTGCAATAGCTTTAAGCATAGATTCAGCTATTGCTGAAAATAGCCAGGATTTCAGTTCAGCTGAAACAGCGAAGTCCGGCTGTTCAGACATTGTGCTGTATTATAAAAACAACAAGTTGAAAAAGATATATAAAATACATTAGATTTGTTAGAAAAAAGGGGGTCACCCTGATAACGACTGGGGGTCACCCAGGAACATAAAAGGGGTCACCGTTATATTTAAGTTTGGGGGTCACCCAAACAGGCAAAATGCAGAGAGAGGTGGGGGTCACCCACATGGAAAATGAGGTACAAAAGGGGGTCACCCTTAGTTATTGGAAAGTTATGAGCTAAACAACGGAGACCCAAGTACCGTTGTAGCAAAAACAGGGATCGCCTGTGATAATCAAGAGGGTCACCCTTGTGGCAGATATAATTGTTTGGTTTAACAAAAGCTGGCTGAAAGCAGGAAAAAGGCACTTAGTATGCCAGTTGAGTGAACCTGTCATGAGGTAAAAACAGAATGGGTTTTGAGTATACTGACTGGACATAGGAGAAGGAACTTACCTTGGAGCTGGTTAGCAAAAGACCAGAGAGAGAATAAGTGGTTAAATAACCTTTTCAAACTGGGCAGCAGTAGTGGGTAAATAACCTTCAAACTGGGCAGCAGCAGAGGGTTAAATAATTTGTAAACTGGGCAGCAGTTAATGGTAACTTGGCAGGAAAAAACCGTTGCCAATTCAAACTGCCGCAACTAAAATGGTCGCCGGCTATTTTGGAGGCGGAGACTGCGCGTCACAAAAAGCGCGATAAAAACGGAAGAGAGCCGCTGACAGGTCGTGGCTTTAGACCAAGCGGTGAACAAAATGTAAACTAAGCTGTGTTATATTGCGGTCGGCTAGAGACACTCGAAGGGGCCCCAGGAGTAGAAAAGGGAAGTTAATAAAAAAATAACAAAGACAACAAATAAATATAGTAAAATGGTATATGTACAAAATTTGAAAAATAATGAATAAAGTGTAAATAAATAAATATAAAATATTCGTATAAGGGCCTGTGTAATTAGAATTGACTCACCTGGGAGGCAAGCAGCAAAGAAAGAGGAATTGGGAGGAGTCTCACAACCACATATTACTGACTAGATGTGTTCTGATTGGTTGTTTCTTTTTTCAATCTGTTAACTATTTCTTTGCTGCTGGGAGGAACAGTAAAGGAAGTAAAGCAAATATGAAGCCTCCTGTCTTGCCATAAAATTGCTGCTGAGACCAGATGACAGAATTAGTGATGTCCCGAACGGTTCGCTGACCGGTTCGCCATATGCGCTGTTCGGTCCGCCCCCCATGTCATCATTGAGTAAACTTTGACCCTGTACCTCACAGTCAGCAGACACATTCCAGCCAATCAGCAGCAGACCCTCCCTCCCAGACCCTCCGACCTCCTGGACAGCTCACTAAGAATGCAGCTTCACAATGAATGTAAAATGGAGGTGGGAGGGTCTCTGGGAGGGAGGGTCTGCTGCTGATTGGCTGGAATGTGTCTGCTGACTGTGAGGTACAGGGTCAAAGTTTACTCAATGATGACATAGGGGGCGGACCGAACAGCGCATATGTTCGCCGTCCGTGGCGAACCGTTTGGCGAACCATTCGGCAAACCGTTCGGGACATCATTAGACAAGATAAGTTGGTAAAGAAGTTCACTAAACAGTGAACTAGTTGGTTATATCATAGAGCAAATATAAATACAGGAGACCAATAAGAAACCCCGATTATCCTTTTCACTTCTTAAACGACCAAAAGATGAGGGGGGGCTGGGCCTCCCGGATGTGGAATTATACCACAAAGCAACTCTGCTCACTAGAGTATACGAATGGTGCAACCCACACACAGATAAGCAATGGGTGACACTGGAAGCCGCCCATTTCAGAACCCCGATCTACACAATCCCGTGGCACAAGGTAGGATCTTTCCTACTACACCATGGCACATATCCTACCATCACCCCCACGCTGAGATTATGGGCGCACATACGCTCACATCAGGACATATCCCCCTATCCCTCACCTCTGTATCCAATCATTCACAACCCCCTGTTCCCTCCTGGAGCAGATAGGAAAATATATAAGCAATATCATAACTCACAATACTTGTCAGTGGAGGCAGTAATTGAAGGGAATAAAATCAAACCTTTACACAAATTGTTACCGGAGACTGATATCACAGCAATGCAAATGTTTTCATACATTCAAATTGTACACTTTTTAAAGAAAGGACACTTGGCTCAGAGGTCACTCCGAGAACTAACACCCTTTGAAAAGTATTGCAAGGGGCACATATTAAAAAAGAAGCTTATCTCTGTCATGTACACTATCCTTCTCTCCATACAGCCCAAACACCCTCAGGCCTTCACTTCTGCATGGGAATTGGAGCTCAATATCACCATACCACCTGATAGGTGGCGCAAAATCTTTAGAAATATTCACAAAACATCTAGAAACACAGAGACCCAAGAGAGAAGCTATAAAAGAATAGTTAGATGGTATTATACACCAGCGAGACTAAGAGCCATATTCCCCCAATCCTCTGATCAATGTTGGAGATGCCATCACCCCTCAGGCACAGCATCACACATCTGGCGGTCCTGCCCAGAAATACAAACCTACTGGAGGCACATTTCTAGCCTCATACAGACGATACTGGGGGAAAAACTGACCCCAACCCCAGATTCTTTCATCTTCCTTCTCCCACCACCAAACTTCCCCAAAGAAAAAACTCAACTACTCCTACATTTGATAACAGCACCAAACCAATTGATCCCTATATGCTGGAAAAAAATCAAACCCGCTGCCCATAAGAGATTGGATTCAAAGAGTGGAAACCACTAGGAATATGGAGGAAATTTGTTACTCCTTCTCAGACAGATACCACTCTTACACATCTCTCTGGTCCTGGTGGTGCACGTACCTTCAGCATTCCCCATGAGGGGGGATCCCACACGCACCCTTGGGCAAGACGCAATAGCATGGGCAAGCTAACCGAAGGGGAAAACTTCCAACATACACTCCATACCATTCTACGAGGGTTATCTCTGTTCTTTGTTTTTGTATTTACTTAAACACATCTTGATTCACAAGCCATACAGACAATTGTTATCAACAAATTCTTGTTTTCTATGTATTTGATGCATACAGATAATTGTTACTTCTCAATATTCTATGTATACAAAACAGTGATATCTGTACCATGACTTTATGCAAGTAAAGGAATAAATAAATAAATAAATAAATACAGGAGACAGGAGGGCAAAGGGGGTATAGCCTGAATATTGGAGATATTCTTAAGTGAAGTTGCCTTAAGTAGCATTTCAGGTTCAAGTTGAATGAGTTCGATAATCACTCATATCTACTAAAGCAACATAAGTAATTAGGTATCCTTTCCCCTCTAACAGTAGATAAAGAAAACCTCATAGAGATAGGTTGGAGGGAGCAGGGGGGCAAACATCCATGCAGAGCGACCGATTCTCGTAAGTGTTAGACGCCCTTACTAATAGTCCCTGTGTCTCCTAAAAACCACCTTTGTGAGTGTTCTATGCTAATACCTCATCTCTACTAAATCCATGCCCTCAGCTCCAGTAAACCAACACAAACAAATCTAAAAGAAAAAGGTGCTAAACACCCAGTGTGTTCACATTGCTGCCAGGTGTGGGAGAGAGTGGGGGGAGGGATCCTCTGACAGACCGACCTGATCCTGCTCCCCTCCACTTCACAGCTCGGGTACACTCCCCTCTGCAAATGTTTACCATCTGTGGGTGTGCTGAACGTCATTCACAGCTTCGCCCGTCCCGGGAATCCCTCCCAATGCCCATTAGACATCCATTTTACATTGGGGGGTTGGCAGGAAGCAAGGGGCGGGGGCGGAGTTCCATAGTTTACAACTACATATTTGATTTTGCCGATGTTAGTTCTTAGGAACATAATCTAAATAGATTGCTAAGTCTCCTCCCTTAAGCTGGTACTTAGTGTATTTGAATATTGAGAGGAGCTAGACCATCCGAGCAAAGTCTTTTTTCAGATTTCTAGGTTCTAATAATTGTAGTGGATTCCCTTCACTCGTCGATTTGACTATATTGTGAGATGGTCTTAGGATACATAAAGTGCATCAACTACACATGCACTAACACATGCCATGTCCACTTTACACACACTGCAGCCTATACACAAACACACACCTTGTATGCATTCTACAAACACTGCTTCCAAGTGGGAAGATTTGGAGGTGGGTCCTGTGGGCAGGATATAAGCTGTGTTAGGGGCCCCAAAATTTCTGATGGTGACCCTGCTCAGTGCTATGAAAAAGTAAGCAAAACCTTTTTCTTCAACTTCTTGTTGCAATGGGGGTGGACATGTGTAGGGCACTATAGTGCTAGAAATACTGGGTTGTAGTATTTAAGGACAGAGGCAACCAATAAATACCTGGGACACCCTGATGTGAGCAGGGATTTAACCCTGTTTATACCAAAAATGTAGGATGTTTATTGCCATCCTAACGCTATTGAAGCCCAGTTTTGTTAGGACGTTTGATATGTCCTAACTTCATGAAGGGATTGATATACCCCATCCCATTGAGATGGGGCTTTAATAAGCAATAGAGGAGGATATACCAGTCACCAAAGGACCTTCCCTATAACCTCACCTGTGGCGGAACAGACCACTTGTTCTTGGGGCTGCTTGCACGCCTCCTACCTTCTGACTATGGCCCTGGGATATATGGCATTTGAAAACACTATTTGTGCCCTGTGACAAAACTGGAGATTGTGCACAAATATGACTATTGTCCATATTTTTTATGATTCCCTTCATTTGTTGCACTTTTCCCCATGTGTTTCATCTGTTGGTTTGGCTGGATAGACTACCAGACAAACTGTGGAGTTACCGGGTGGCCACCATTTCATGTATCAGAGGCACATGGTGAGAACAATGGATGAAGCACATGGTGAGAACAATGGATGGTGGCCATTTTAACTCACAGACACTGATTTGACTTTTTTACACGGTGCCGTCTCGCCGGTATTTGGTGCACAAAGACATCGTTCAGTAGTTTTAAACTACAGAACAGG